TGTATTTGGAACTTACTAATAATTGTTTCTTTTGTGTAATTCAAAAACATAAACATGATGTAGAACAATGTAAGTTTGATATATTGATGTATGATGTTTGGATTTGCTATGTTTCATTTATATTCAATTGCTATGATACTGCACAATGAAGTCACCCGCCTCCGGACGTTTCTGCCGTCTGGTCCGGGGGTGTGACAATTATGTAGTCATCATGGATCAATTATTGAGAGCTTCAAGAACACCCGCTCTGATACTAATTGTAGCGGTCCTAATTATGATGACATGTGTGGAATTGATAAGATCTAGTGAATCATTCAAGAAACATGAACACAAGGAGTAAATAATCCAGTTAAGCCCTCATTAGATCAAGTGAGTATTACAAGGTGGGTAATGTAAAAATGCTCTCACTAATCTAATCTCTCCAAAGTTCATTCCATAAATGAGTGTCACTCACTTCCTATTTATAGGAAAGACAACTCATTACACAATACAAGAGGGTAAGCCTACACTCCACATCTAAAGAGCACTTTGCACCCTAACAGACTTAGCTTCTAAAACGGCCTCAACCCATCAAGACCAACCAAAAGGGGACAAAAAGCATAAAACCATAATATGAAGAGATCTAAGCAAGGAGAAGACAAGGTATGAACTTGATACCTCAAAAGGCATGCAAGATGAGTGATGATTATGGATCTCTAAGCTTCACACTAAGCAATGCACCTTCAATTTTCTTCAATCTCTTCAAAATGAGCAAAATAAGCACCAATTTTTCCTCAAGATCTCAAAGACACAACAATGGAGGCTAAGGGTCTAAATTTAGGTTTTAGGAGGTGGGGAGGCTGGTAAGGAGGCCAGTCCTAGGGACGTAATGAGCTTAAATAGGGTGCAACATCTCAAAACTAGGGTTTCATTAAACCCTCGCACACCCAGCGTAATCCTCGTACACCCAGCGTACGAGGCCTCGGTCTCGCGATCAAACCCTCTTAGTACACTAAGCGTACACTAGTATACGCCCCGCGTACTGAAATTTGCACTAGTACGCCCTGCGTACTTCCTATGTACGCCCAGCGTACTAGGGTTATCCTTTAACCCTATACTCCTCTAAAGGTCGTAACTTCTTCATTATAAATCTGATTTCGACGATCCTTAGATTCATGAAAAGGTAACGAGAAGGTCTACGCTTTTATCAACTCATACTTGCCTTAAAATTTTCTGAACAAAAATCGAATTTCCATAAAAGCCCGATCTAACACTTTACCAAAATACCCTTTGGCTCCAAAACACAAACCGAACTCCAGATCATCCAAATTACATTACCCACATCCGAATGGGTCCAAATCTCATTTCCTCAAAGGTCTTAAGCCTGATAATACCCGATCTTTGGTCACCACTCCGTAATAGGAAACGATTCGGGATAGGACGTTATAAAATTAAAACTGATGTGAGGTACTAGTTGATTGTCCATAAAGATGGATATTGTATAGAGATGCGATTATACTCACATGTACTTGATACAAATCGATTATTAGAGAAACATGCACCTAGAGATTACTTTAAAGATCACTTCACAAATAATTTTAAAAGTTAATATCTTATTTTCTTAAAATGGAGATATATAAGATTATTGACTCATAATTATTGTCCATAATGGGCAGTCGTACAGATTGGATTGTCAATAACGCTAGATACATGGTTGTGCTAAGATTGGATTGATCTTGGATCAATTTTGCAGAATATTGAACGTTTTGAGATTGGTATTATTCTATGTATCGCGTTCATATGGATAATAAGAACAAATGGATATTTGATCACTTGCTTATAAGGTTGTTTCACACCTAATTTTGGAATCGGTACTTGTCATGGATGGGATAGTCTATGTTGACTATAGGGAAATGATGTATTTCTATAAATGTAAATCATTGTCAGTGCTACTATATAGTTATTATATCATGGAAAGTGAGAGTTTGTTGGAGATATATTCACTAACACAACAAATATTATCATTACAAATGTTGCGTATGTCTATTGAGTTACACACAAAGTACAGTCTAAGTCCAAATTGGCAAAGAACAATGAATAAATAGACTAATTTATTATTATCATTACAAATATTATCATTACAAATATTATCATTACAAATGTTGCATATTATCATTGAGTTACACACAAAGTACGGTCTAAGTCCAAATTGGCAAAGAACAATGAATAAATAAACTAATTTATTATTCATCACTAATATGATGATTTAATTAGAAACTATTTAAATCGAGCTAGTAGTTTGTTATTCATCATTAATATAATTGAATTAGAAACTAATTAAAGTGAAGGACTTTGATTTGCAATAAGATATAAATACATTATGGAAGGTTATGATTTACGTTAACGATATAATTAGTTTAGTGAACCAATCCATTTTTGTTGGCATTTGCAACACCTGCCCACCCTCCCAAGCTTGTGAATAGAAGAGATAGAGCATCTGTGTTTTAAAGTCTTGGAAGGCTAAGAAGCTTTTATACTTATATACTCGCTTTCTTTTCATTCTCTCATATGTGTGTGATGAACTAAAACTCATTAAACATTTTTATTAACTTCATCCAACTGCCTCACTTTAATAATTAAGTTCTCATTCACCTTAAATCCGTTTTGGACGTGTAATATACCAAAACCAAGGTATTACGGAGGAGAGCAAAACTATATAACCTTATATTCATTTGAATAATGTTTTAAGGTAGGAAATTCATGTTGAAAATAGGAAAACCCCATTTTAAAAATTGGTTAAACCAATTTTTCCAACAGCCTGGAAGTTAGAGCTTTGGTTTTTTGTTATCTAAGATTTCGAAGAAGCCAAAACAAAAGGAGTTCTAGCCTTCCGAAAAAAGTTATTGCTTAAAGATTATATACTTTGAGGTGCAACCGTGCAACTACGATAGATGGATTCTAGCTTGAGTCTTTATCATCCTCTTGATCATTAAATCGAAATAAACATATAAGGCTATCTGGAACATCCTTTACGCCTTCGACGTGGTGGTAAGGCGGCGAGGACCACACCATGCACACCAACCTGCCTCCAACGTGTGTTAAAGCTACACTATGTGGCGAAGTGTGTCATAAACCACAACCTCCAACACTTCTCTCTCTCATATGCAAGGATGTCGTTGATGCGTAGAGACCACACCAAGAACGGAGTGATGTAAAGGTGATCATAAGGTGGAAAGAGACATACACCGATGGCATGCTAGATACTCTCAGTAGCATAAACACCATTTATGGCTTAGTTTGTTGCAAAAAATTAAGTGAACACATCAAAAACTAAATTATAATGTTCTGTTTTATTGTTTCCATTGTCAGGAATAGTTAAATTATGTTTTTAGTAAAATGAGTCAACACAATTATATACAATTATAATACAATAATGGGATGACACCAAAATCAACACCAATGTGCCTCTAATTAATATTAAAATTTTATTTTGAGTCATTATTCTATCATTTTAATATGCTCAAACATCGAAGTCGACAAAGTTGAAATTATTTAGCAGCCTAAAAATTGAATTAAAAATAACACAAAAATACAAATCGACATGTGTCAAGCACCAATTGTTCCTCCCCACGTTCAAAAATGATTGAAGGCCATTCTTTACGCGTCATAAAGAGACCTTGCAGCTCATTTCTTCTAATATTCCTTCACTGAACCCCTAAGTACAACTCCCACTGCAAAACGTACAACACCCACATCTCCCCCTCTCTCTCTCTCTGACATAAAGACACAGACCAAACTCTGCATATAAAACCGCCGAACCAGAGGACCGGCCATACTCTGTCGGCCACATAAACACACCAGATCCAAACTACAAACCGTTAATGGATTCTTCCGACCAACGGCGGAAGAGAAAGCGTTCTCTAAAACCCACCCATCATTTCTTTTCACTAAGATCTCTGCTTTATTTCTTCTCCTTCTTCGCTTTCTTCTTTATCCTTTTCCGGCGAAACACGCCGTCGTTTCACCATCTAGTCGTGCTTCCCGGATCATCAACATCATCTTCAATTCACCGACTATTCTCCGGTGAGTTGACTCGGTTTAAGATAGACGATAGAGTTCTGTTCCCTGATCATATTTTAATATTACTTTCCGGAATCGGAATTGGAAGTTGGAACCTTGTCGGAAATGGTAAAGGATTGGAATGTATTTACAGAAATAATTATACAGAGGAGGAGGAGGAAAAGGGTGTGGCAGTGTTATCGGTGGATGAATACAACGACATCCAGTGGCTTGTTCGGTGTCCGCTTCGTCCGACGAATTTCTCATCCGTCGTCACTCTCCGAAGCCGGGGCGCGATCACGGTCGCTGATACGACGGTGGTAGCAATGAATTCTTGGGAGAATTTAGCATACGAGGCGGTGTTGGACGGGAACACGGCGGTGGTGTTCGTGAAAGGAATCAGTCATAGACAGGATAAAGCATCCGACCCGAATCGATTCCGATGTCATTTCGGGTTCGGGAATCAGAATTACATTCTAGCCTCAAAAGCACTAACCGCCGCTCAGGAAGTCGTAAGGTGTGCGTTGCCTAAATCCCTCGAAATCCACCCGGAAAAATCTCAGGGAATTCGAGCCACCGTCAGTTTCCAACTCCCGATGAGAAACCACCACCACCGAACAATTTTTGTTCCATCGGTCGCGAAATTATCAAGCTCGAAATTCGAGAAAAACACTCCAAAACACGACCTTTGCGTCTGCACGATGCTATGGAACCAAGCCGATTCAATTCGCGAATGGATAACTTATCATTCATGGCTCGGAGTTCAAAAATGGTTTATCTACGATAACAACAGCGACGACGGGATAGAATCGGTGATAAACAAGCTCGATCTCGAGGGTTTCAACGTCAGCCGCCATGTTTGGCCATGGATCAAAACTCAAGAAGCAGGATTTTCCCACTGCGCAATAAAAGCCAAAAACGAATGTAATTGGGTTTCCTTCATGGACGTCGACGAGTTCTACTACTTCCCGAATCTCCCCGGACATGGCGCTTTAAGAACCCTAGTATCAAACTACACTTCATCGCCATCAATCGGAGAACTAAGAACGCGTTGCCATAGCTTTGGGCCATCGGGGTTACGTTCGCCGCCCAAGAACGGCGTAACGGTGGGGTACACTTGCAGATTACAGAGGCCTGAACGGCATAAGTCGATTGTGAGACCGGAGGTGTTGGACACGACATTGATGAATGTGGTGCACCATTTCCATTTAAGGGAAGGGTTTAGCTTTCTTGATGTGGGTCAAAATACAGCAGTGATAAATCATTATAAGTATCAAGTTTGGGAGGTTTTTAGGGCGAAGTTTTATCGGAGAGTTGCGACTTATGTGGCTGATTGGAAAGATAGCCAGAATGAAGGGTCGAGAGATCGAGCCCCCGGTTTGGGGACTGAACCGATTGAACCGGCGGATTGGAGGTTGAGATTTTGTGAGGTTTGGGATACCGGTTTGAGGGATGTTGTGTTGGCTAATTTGGATAATGTTTTGTCTAGGGGTAGATATTTGGGGGGTATAGATATATAACATATACAGTAATTAATATACGGATTGATTTATTATTGTTCACATGTATATTCTTTTGTTTGATTGTGAATTACATTTTAAAAAAAAATGGAGGAATTGAATTGAGTCTAATAGACAATAGACAACCCAATAATGAAATGGAATCTTCAATTCCTGTCCTGTTGGATTCTGTTGGAATCTTCAATTTGAGAAACACGGAATCATTTTACTTGTCATTGATAAAAAGTTTAAAATTTGAACTAAAATTTGTTCAAAGCATCATGGTAAAATACTCTAAATTTTAAGGAATTGGAATGTAAATTCCTGGTAAAATTCACATTACATTCTGTGTTTCGAAATTTACATTAAATTTTAAGGGTATGTTTCGAAACGATTTAAAGGAATTGGAATGTAAATTTTTGTTTTTAGTTTGACAAAATCCTCTAAATTCCATTATATTCTCTGTTTGAAGGGGGCATCAAAGGGCAAGGATTATAGATTTCATTTGGGCAAATTAAACCAATAGTCCTTCGTGTACGTTCAGTCCCTATTTTTAAAAATTAACTCGGACGATCATTTGTTTGTTTTAAACGTACACGCATCATCCATATTAACATGAAAAGACAATTTTGCTCTTAGTTATTTCTTTTTTAATTTTATTTATTTATTTATCAGTTTAAATTAAAATATATATAATAATAAAACAAGGATAAACAAATTATCCACCCCCTCCCGTTCGGTCCCTATTTCTACAACAAGATTCGACAGCACCACCACCTAACACCGCCGGCTCCTCCGGCACCACCACATATTAGCGTCACCACCTCCGACACCACAACGTATCACCGCAAACACCTTCCCCTTCCCTTTCCCCATATTTCTTCTACCTTCGTCTCCCTCTTCTCACATATTCCCGATAACCATCCAAAACCCTAAATCAGTGAACCAAAATCGGACCCCAAACCACCATCCCTATCTTCGTTCTCTCCCTCGGCCTTAAGAACACCAACGACCATCGAAGCTACCAATTTCAATCTATCTGCTTCTTGGTGAAACCCAATAATCAAATCGATCCATCCACTGCTCCAATCGAAAGTTATTTCTCTGAACCATAACCATCACCATCGAAACAACAATTCAATCTTCGAAACCTTGAAATACCGACGAGATTTAATCAACACAAATGACACCCAGAAGCAATCGAAATCATGAGTTCAAGACATCTCACTGCAATCGAAGTCTTAACCTATCTTCATCTTCAAAATCGAAACAAGTAGTCGATTGAAATCAAGTCCAAGACAAATCCATCGAAATAAAATCAAACCTAACCTGATACGAAACTCAAAATCAAAATCAAAACCTACATCAGTTTCAATTTTTGGATTTGAGGACGATGAAGAAGGAGGAAACTCAAAACCAAAATCGAAATCAAGTATTTCTCTCTCTTCTCGTGCTACATCTCCATCTCATGCACCCATTTCCTCCATTCTCCTTTTTCCTTTTCATCAAGTCTGTCTCTCTCAACCTATTTCTCTCTCGGTATCGTGCTACATCTCCATCTCACTTGCCCTTTATCTCGATATCACATCAGAACACATATGTGTATGTGTGTGTGTGTATGTTTTGGGTTACTCTTTTATCTCCGGTAACAATAGTATGTGGGTTTGGAAGTGAAGGGGGTAGATGGGTTGGGGAAGCTGAGAATAGGTATTGGAGAAGAATGGCGAGATAGATCGATCAGAGAAGGAGGTAGTGGTATTTTCTAGTGTGGCGCGGACTACATTCGCAAGAAAAAAAACATATCAGGGACTAAGTGTGGTATTTTTAAGTTAATAATAATAATAAATAATATTAGATTAATAATAAATAATATTAGATTAATTAAAAAATAAATATTTAAGGGCATTATCGTCATTTCAAATGTGGCACCGATTACATTCGCAAGAAAAGGCATATAAGGGATGAAGTGTGCAAGTTTTAAGCAAACGAGGGACGGTCCGAGTTAATTTTTGAAAATAGGGACTGGACGTGCCTTTTGGCACCTGCACGAGGGACGATTTGTGTAATTTACCCATTTCATTTCTTATGTTTTATTAAAAATATAAAATACCCTCTATTTGTTTATTTTAGTTTATTTTGGCCATAATTAATAAAATGAAAACACATTATTATCATCAATCACATCCCACCCTTATGTTTTACTATCTCCGTCCCAAATTAATTGTCCATATTTGACTTTTGAAGTATTTTTTCTTCAACATTTGCTTTAAATTTTTTTTTATAGATAATACTTGATACAAAATATATTAATAGATTGTATTTTAAATGTCTTTTCATTGTTATAAGTTTCATCAAATAATATATAACACAAGTAAAAATATCTAATGTCAAATTTGAAGAAAAAAAAAATTTAAAAGTCAAAAGTGGACAATTGGGATTGAGAGAGTATTAAAAATAGAGTAAATTATAGTTTTGGTCCCTGTGGTTTGGTCAGATTCGTACATTTAGTCTAAATTTTGAAATTTTGATAAGATGCATCCATATGGTTTAAAGAAATTACACTGCACATCCATAATTCATTTAAAAAGACTATTTTACCCTTTCTTTTATCTTTTTTTTCTTTTATCATATATATATATATATATATATATATATATATATATATATATATATATATATTATATATATATATATAGAGAGAGAGAGAGAGAGAGATCGGTTCATGTGTTCTAGATATTTATTGTGTGGATGTAGGAATCAATATGGTCAATCATTTCAAAAGGGTAATTTTGTAATATTACATTTTAAATAATATTTTTTATTTAGTTAATTTGAATATTATTCCAATCAAATCCCTTTGTATTAGACAATTATTTATGAATATGTTAACTATCATTAAGCCTAATAATCTTTATATATTATCATCATCTATGAATTATACGTAATTTTCCATCATACGACCTATTTTCATCACTGCTTTCATCTTCATATTTTTCATAGTTTAATGGATGTTCTTGAAGACAAATCGATGGAGGTATTATTTTTCATTTAATGGATATTCTTGAAGACATGTTTTTTCATTGTCATAAATACGTAATACAATTTATTATTGGCAGGATAACTATTATGCTGGTAAGAATTCAGATGTGAAGTCTTCTAAGAATAACAAAGACATTGAAGATAAGAAGGTTGGTAATGTCAATAATTCCAAGGTGAATGAAGTTGTCAAGAAAAAAAAAGATGTAGGATTTGCTTTGGATTTGGTCATAATAATAGAAATTGTCCTTATGGATCTGTCAAGAAAGCATAGAAGTTCAAGAAGTTTATCAATTTAGACATTTTAGCTATTATGAAGTTGATTTTCAGTACAATAAAATTATGGTTTGATGAATTTTAGGGGTTTTTCCTTATATGTTTATGTTTTTAGTCTACAAATATTAATAATAGTTCATAGTTTGATGATTTTATTAGTTTTTCTTTCTATATTTATGTGTACAGTCATTATATATTAATAATAGTTCATGGTTTATGTTTTTTTATAAACAAAACGAATAACATTCTAATCCATATTAGTTTATGGTTTATGTTATTATGACAGAATTAGCATATTTAATAAAAAGACTTTGATGTTTATTTTTTTCGTTATATGCCGTGTTGTTTAGGATATAAAACATATACAGTCAATTGTGTTGTTAGTCGTATTCAATATTTGATTGAAAACTAAAACAATGCATAATTGTGTAAGTCATATTTTAACAAGATTTTTATAGAATGAAACCGATATAACAAGACATATTTATATAAGTAATATTTTTTACATGATTCTGACAGAATGTTCGAAATCATTAAAATCCGCAAAAAAACCAATGTACAATTTAACAAACCCAAAAACCAAACAAATAATTTTCTCTTTATACCAGTCTAACCTTAATCTTATAGTTCAACAAAATTTTTTAATCAAGTATACAATAAATTTTAATAAGGTATTATAATACTGAAAAGTTTTATCTATAAAATATGAATAAGTCAAATTATAACCATATCATGATCCCATAGTAGGATCCTTATCTTCAGATTCACAAAGTTAATAATATTCAATTTACATAGTGCTTAGCAACATTTCTGAAATTTATTGGTGTTTATTCGCACTCTAGAATTTCTTATGGGTGATGAAGTATCAACTGGTAATAATCATATTCATGATGAACATGAATTTTCTATTGATTATGCAGAGGAACTTGAAGATTTCGAGTTATCTGATCATGATACACTACAAAATCTCGATTTTGAAATATGCGAAACTAATCTCAATGGAGGTGAATTTTTTATTTTTTAAGTTTTCTCTGTGTTACAGATTCTTCTTTCCAATAAGCATGTTTAAACTTGTTTGTTGTTATTTTCATTATGGATAAATTTTAACACACAAAAGGAGAGAATCCATCAAACTACATTCATAATCATACAGATGACATTCCCGACTATCACATCGGTGAAACTAGTAATCATAATCAAGGTGATGTATTTTAATTATGTATTTTATTTGTTTACTTTTGTAGTTATGCGTATATGTGTATTGCATATATTTTAACTCATTACACTCATTATATTATAAGATGCAGAAACGAAAATGAGTTGTAACACCCCGGTATTCAGGTACTTTTAAAGTCATTTGTATGGTTTAATTCTTGTCTTTTTGGTCCCTGTAATAGAAGGAAGTAGCCATGAGAAGCCCTAGTAGCAATCTTATAATTTTAGTATAGGAGGAGTACGCTAAGCGTACATGAGGGTACGCTGAGCGTACTAAGGCGCACCCTAGTATGCTGGGCATACACTTATGTATGTTGGGCGTACTCATGTCTGGAGGAAACCCTAAGTTTTAGCGTTTGAGGGGTATTTAAACATCCTTATGGATCATTTATCCCCACATTTTCAGCATCCAAAGTCTTAGAGCCGTTCTTGCAAAATCCTAGTCCCTTAGAGTGTGATTTGAGCCTTAAAGCGTGTTCTTGGTATATTAGAGG